GGAGAGCGTGTGTGTAATGTTGCCCCTCCGTCCTAAACCCCCGTTTACCGCGCCGGGACCACAAACCGGCTTGGTAGGTCCGCCAGCTCCGCGCTAAGGGGGGACCCGCCGGCCGAGGGGACCGCCCCCTCCCCCCCTCCAAACCAACAGCTCCCCTCCTCGAGAGGGTATTTTTTTCAGAAAACAAACAAACAAACGGCGACCCTCCCATCCGTCCCCGCCTGTCGGTGCAGCGACCCGCGGGCCTGGGCGCTGAAGGTGCGCGGGCGGAGGGGCCCCCGCGCTACTCACCCCGCGGCCCCCGGGCTGCGCCTCCTGCTCCGCGCTCGCTGCCCCGATCCATCGATTTGTTCCTGGGAAAAGGCGGCGCGTTCTTATAGCAGCTACGAGCAATTAATATTGCATTAACCGTATTAAAAAAAAAATAAACGCGCGCCCTCTCAAAGCCATCTATTATTAACGCGAGTGTAATTGGAGGCCCGGGACGTGGGTGTGTGCGCGTCGTGGGCACGGCAGGGAAACACAGGCGTGACAGTGTGGCGGGAAGGAAGGGGAGCCGAGGGTGGCTAATATTTGATTTCAGGTCTGTGGTTTTCTAATTCGAGATTAAAAGCAGTCACGTCTTTGAAGCCAGACACTTGGTGTAAATGTACAGTTAAAATATTCTATTCCACAGTCCCCAGACAGAGCTCTGCTACTCCCAGGCTTCATTAAATTTTAATTATCATCCCAGACTGGAGCAAGGAAAGAGGGGAAAGACTGTCCACCTAATTGCAATTGATAAAGGCAGAGAAGCCTAGATCTTTTTTCCTCGCGCGCACGCACAGCAGTTGTTGTTGTTGTTGTTGTTGTTGTTTTGATGCGGGTAAAGCCCGGAGAGGGCAGCGTGAGCGTCTCCACCTATGGATCTGCTGTTTACAAAAGACGCACGTGAAGGAAAGCCGGGAAGTGATGTTATAGATGGTAACGGGGAGGGGAACATTAGCTCTAGGATAGATCTGGCGAAAGATCAACGGAAGAGACAGGCACCCTCATTAGGGCTCGGCAGCTCATTGTCTCCCAAAACAAAGCGCCGGTGCCTCAGCCCCGCCCGTCACGGGAGGCGGTGCCGAGCGGCAGCGGAGGGGCTGCCCGGGTGCCCGCTCCAATCTCCCGGAGCCGAGGAGCCTCTGCCCTCCCCAGCTCTTCCGTGCCTTTTCGTTTGTTAATAATCTGCGTGTGTGGGACAGGCAGTTGCGGGGAGAAGTCGACTAATTGCCTCAGGTTTTTAATTTGGAAAACTAGAGAGCAGTCTGTCTCCAGGCAGCAAAAGGTAGAAAATAAAACCCACCGCGTTTGCTTTCTAAGCAGCTTCCTATTATCACATCGCCACTTAATTTTATTTCCATTCTCTCCAAGTTAAATAGAAAGCCGAGCTCACAGGGGAGCTGCCATGTGCCTACAGACTGGGGATGTCAAGCAGAGAGACTCACTGTGCAAAGTTAATTTCAATTCCCGAGGAGGATTTCACATTCTCGCTCGCTCTGACCCACAGTAATTAGCTGAGATAACTAATGATTACTTACTTATTCCTTGTAATTATCTGGATTTAATAATTCGCTGTGTAATTTATTAATTCGCCCATAATAGCCTTTAAGTGAATGGCTCATTTAAGAGGGCGAAGCAGCAGTTCGGGGGCTGTTCGCCGCCTGCTGCCTGCGCCTG